GCGTCAAACGGCTTCACCAGTATGATTTCATATAAAACAGCATGAATACCCATTTCATTTTCCAGCTGCTTGAGGTATACGACGGTTGAGCGGATATTTCGTAGAAGGAAGTTGTATACATGTGATTTATGTCGCTTTTATAGACGGAGATCCTTCTTGATTATGTTGGGTAGTGGACACGAGGACAATTTTTTCAGTGCTCATGGATTCTCTGCTGTTACAAAGCACTGGACTTTGCTTGCTACCACGCCTGGAGAACGACTTGTTATGGGTCTCTTTCTGGATAGTCCTGGTGACCCAAGTTGCTCCATATTCTTTTGTTTTCCAAAGTCATTAAGTACAAGAGATTTCCTCGTTTTCAAAATTCTAAGTCCAAGATCTGAACATATCTTTATAAGCTGAATGTACGAATATCTTATCTCAGAAAGAACTGTTACATATCCTTCTGAAAATCGATGAATTTTTCGGAAACATCACATTATCTACGAACCGTCAAAACACTTCAAATTGTAGTTCTGATACATGCTGTTCCACCACAACATTATATCGGCTTTGGCTGTCATGTCACTTGCTGATCTACACATTCAAAGTCGTTTTAATATAAAGGGCTAAACTCTCTGTAGCCCCCAGTGTCACGCACTTTAGGAACAATAAAAAAGATATCGGTATTAAAAACTACTTATTGATATTCCTGAGATGTGCTGAGCGAATCTGAATTTGCTTTCAGAAAGTCTTTGTTTTCACTGGTTTTTCCTTCTAAGATAGATTGCTATTTATAAGTTACGAAGTCTAATAACGATGTATTATTTACTAGCAGCTCAATATTATATAACAGAAGTATGTTACTTTTTACAGTTCATTGAAATACTGGGTGTCATTTATCTATAAAAGGCTTTTCCCTTTGTCACTCTGTCGAGAACATTTTCACGCTCCTTTTTTGGTAATGCTCAACAATATACATCGTCGCTTAGCAACAAAACTATCGCCTGATTGTTCTTAGACCAACTATGATGTTTATGTTAAATTCTCAATATTCATGTTGATTTGTTAGAAAGGTTTTTTTATTATTATTTATTTTTTATAACTTCGTTGATATAACAGCAAAATAGTTTAATTCAGAAGTTTCATGACATTCAGATGTAGCCAAAAGCAAAAGAAATTTATAAAGTAGTGTTTCAGCTAAGCCTTATGTTACGTTTAAGTATTGAACATACAGGCCTACTATTTATAATCTTATCGAGTTTTAAGTGGTGAATAAATGTTAATTAATAAATATTATTTTAGTATTTTAACACATATATTACCTACTTGGTCTTAAAACATAAATAAAAATAAACGTTTATTACTACCAAATATCTTTTATCCTTTGTACAGTCGAAAAGAGTTGAAAATTTGTGTCTTAATGTCCTCACTATGTTTTCTACTTCCTGAACCTAGAATACAGTGAAAAGGCTCAAAAGTGCTATTTAAGTCTTTTTCAGAGTGCACACGTGCCTTTGACGAGCTTTTATACTAGTATATATATATATATATTTCTGAACGATATTTTTTCGGTTTATGAAATAATGGGCATTACAGTTACGTTGTCTAATAAAATTGTAGAGTTTACACTAATAAAACTTGTTGTAACTATCCCTAGTCTAAGCCGTACTAAGGTTCTATAGAAACTGTTTTACAGTAACCGTATTAATACTGATCACATAAGAACTACTGGCACATGAAGTTGTTATTACCACATGTGTTTAAACGTTACACAATATCGCTTCTTTATACTCGGTTGTTGTGTGTTCACGTACTTTTGGTAACTTCGTTGCTACAACTGTTTTAATCTAAACAACTTTAAATGCAACGTACTACACAGTTTGAAATATGTAATTATTAGCCTAGTTTCAACTGATCGTTCGAATGAAACATCAATGACAACAAGATGTTGTTGAAGGTTGTGGAAGTCTGACCGGAAAATTGGATTTCTACTGTGAACATATCTTTGTAACTACTTTAACTTATCAGTTTTTTCGCTAAACTACGTTAGCTTAATATGTATATACAAACTGATGGGTAAATGTTCGTATGTATATAATACTATACCTTTACAGTACTGGCGAACTCACTCAATCAATTTTTGCTTGTCAAATAGATCTATTGCTAATAACCCACTTCTCAATCAAAGTACGTGTTGTTACATAGTATACTAGGTTATGTTAATATGGTTACATGTCTGACGTGATACCGATTATCGACGTTCGAGCTTTCTTTACGCGATAATTGTCTGCATCGTGCAGATATGTTAATAATGTAGCTTGTTTTAATATTAGAACACAGTTAATATATTAATTTGTTTGAATCTTGTATGATTGTTAATGTAGCAGTTTGTTGAATTCTGCAGGATTGTTGATATAATCTAATAATTCAGTTAATATAAGAAATTGTTTGAATCCTATATTATTGTTAAAGTAGCAATTTAAATTCTACAGGATTGTTGATGTAATCTAATAATTTAGTTTATCAGTATCGTACGTAATTGTTAATGTAACAATTTGTTTGAATCCTACATTATTATTAAAGTAGCAATTTGTTTAAGTTGCGCAGAACTGTTAATATAGAATCTTATTTAATGTCCAGCAAAAGTGTTCATGTCATAACTATTTGTTAGCATTGATTATGTCCTATTGGTTCGTATCCTACAAATACAGAACCAGGCCTCGGAATTAGGCGAATGTTACTTTTTACTAGCACTGATTAGGTAGTACTTTTCCATACCCTTAGCAATCCCACAGGGATGTTCATATAATTTATTCAATGAATCCTGTATCATTTGTTGGATGTAGTCTTGCAGGAATGTTCAGTTTTACAAGTAGTAACGTAGCATTGAGTCATCGGGATTGTAATAGGATTTCCTGACTCTGAGAAATGTTGATGTTCTGCAAAAGCTGGTTAAAGCAATGTGTTTTGATATTGGATTACATCTATACACATATATATATAAGTAATTAAATATTGGAGAAGTAGAGTATTATAGCAATATTATGAAGGAAACACGGTAAAAGTAAGATATTCGAAATATAAGCAGAATTAACAACAGACTTCTCACAACTCTCGACTAGAATCAATGTTATCACAAGAAAGAAATAAGTGTGCTTCAAGTTATTGTACTGATATAAATTATATATGTGTGTGTGAAGTACGGTGGACTCCCATAATGCATGTGTGAATACGATGGATCTTACTGGATTTTTTTATGTGTCGTTAAATTTTGATACTGTGTATATCAGTAAGTCCTATTCATTTATAAGCTTATTCCGATATATATATATATATATGTTTGTGTGTGTGTATGTCAAGTACGGGGGACCCCAGAATGTATGTATGAATACGGTGGGTCTTATTGGATTTTTGTGTGTCATTAGATATAGACACTGTGTATATCAGTAAGTCCTAAGAATTTCCAATCTTACTCCGATATATATATATATATCATGTGTATGTGTCTGTGAGTGTAAGTAGAAAGAGAGAGGAGTGAACAAAGATGTATGCAAGCCACGTGTTAAATCAAAGTTCTCAGAACTTAGTCTGTTATTTAAACAAGCACTACTGGACTGTGAAGGTTTATAGAGTCAGCTTCCCAACCCGAAGATTTTGGGGGCTAGCACAGACGTATTTGTTTCGGATTCAAGGTGTTTCCAGAAGCACCGACAGAGATTAATGACTTGGGCCTGACTGATGTCAGAACCAGCCCCCAGCTCCCTCAGTTCTGCCACAGGATCTTTGGGGTCGACAACAATATTGGGTTGTTGCAGGTCTACTTCCGCTTCTTTCAATCACAATACTCTTTTTAAATATGATTATTACTTATTTAGAAAGTTTCGAAGCGGTCATCATTTTACTGACAAAATTCGTAAAGAACAACACACACACACATATGAAGATTAAAAAATAAGAATATAAAAAAATTATTGAAACTACAAAATTATTTCTCGCTTACTGAATTTCAAAAAGCACAATTCTCATTGTCATTTAATTGCACGAAAAGAAGCATAAGCTAACAAATAAAACTACGCATATATTGTGTTACTTTCAAATAATGTTGCGAATATTTTTTAATTTTCATTTTATTTTAGTGGAAAACAATCATATTGTCTAGCTTAACAGTATGAAAGTAATTTGTTGGTATTTGTAGTAATATTTTGGAAAAACGTACCCTGTTATAAAAAGTATCCAGCATTTCCGACGAGTGTATGCTACAATCGGCGAGAAATGTGAGAAAGGCGCAGGAAAAAGAGATAAGTGTCGTTGTCAACATTACTTGCTTACCTACGTTTTGGAAGTGTGCTTACTGTGTAACGTAAGTTACAACTGTTTGTTCATAAATTAATGTTTATCGTATTAGTCATGATGTTAATTTTGACCATGTAATAAATACGCTGACCGCTATAAGACCTTGAGTACTGATGATATCGACAGCTATGAAGAGGAAACACAACATTGTAATATTTTTCATTTTATCGTTAAATCTACAATAGCTGCTAACGATATCAAATAGGCGGAAAGAACATACTTAATGCAAAAGGTAAATTTAGATGGATTTTGAGCAGACGTGAAACAACATAAGTCATCTCTCACACCGCAGAAAGACAAGCACGGCGTGACTCCGCGGGCGAAGGTCCTGATTGATCACTGTCAGCCGGGCAGCTAAGGTGATTGATACTAGTTTCGCGCTCTGCTCTTCTCGGCCAGTAGCGTTCACCTTTTACCGACACGGCCGTCGCACCTTGCGTCGTAGGATGACGAGTGAAGGAGATAATAAATGAACACGACATCTGCAGGTCACTTCTTGTCCTGAACACTAATTAGATATAATAACTAGGAAAATACAAGGAGGAAGAGAGAATTCTAGTCACGGAATATGAGTGTTTAATCACTGGAGGTCAGAGGAAGTATAGAGTAAATCGGGTCATGTTTACATATGAGAAAAAAAAAAAGGAAAACTGAAACCGACTCACCTTGATGCTGCTTACGAGTGGTTTTCTTTTCCTTCATCCAAGGGTACTCCGGGACGTTAACGTTGAGTCCGTTACCCGAGCCGGGATGCTTTGTTGGCGGCGATGGAGATGGGCCTGTCGCTGTACACACAGCAGGAGCAGGGTGCAGCTGATTCCCATTCTCCAGTTGGCAGAGAGTAGGTGGCACGATCGGTCCGTTCATCGAAGATCCCCTATGAAAAGATTCATTTATATGAGGCAATGCTGTCATAAATTCTGCCATTGACGGCTGGCTGTTGATAAACCCGCTTTCACATCCGTTCTCCATCCCGTCGATGGCACTAAAATCCTCACCAAAATTCCGACATTGGGAAGCAAAATTTTCGTTGTTAATTTCAGCTGCGAGCGTCTTTGCACCACTTCTATTCAACCAGCGCATTTCTGGATTGATAACGGAATCTGACCATTTCTGTTGCGTCACGTGATTACGTGAACCAATGGTAAACTTCACTGGTTCTGTGAATCGGAGAGACGCTAGCAGCGACTTTGATCCTCCCGCCATGCGCGTGCTCAGCCCTCCGGATAGCTCCTCCCGTCCGTAAAGAAAACTCTAAAAATTGCAAAGTTCGGGTTCTTGTCTTGTGATAAGGCTATATAAGAATCACATATATAAATTACCCTTTTTCTCGAGGTACTCCTAACCCTAACGTTTTGACCATCTACATGCTAATTACTGGTTATACAACGCTAACTTTTCATCGAGTAAATTAATGGCATCACACAAATCACTGGGGCAAACTAGCTGACGGGTCAGAGTTTCATTTGTGAAGAGGCCAGGCAAAGGTTCGGGCAGGGCCCCGGGTGTTGCCTATTAGGTCGGTTCGGCTATAAAGTTTAGTTGGTGGGCGCCTAAGATCAGCCTCTTTTTCTCGTTAACTGCTGCAGTGCCGTTCTTATCGAGTAGCGAATGGCGGAGCACTCGTCGCAATAATTGCGCAACGTGAGTCTGAAATCATACACAGAAGGGTTCGTCTTGTACCAGGTGTCGCTACTAACCTTACGGAACTTGGATGGAGAAGGATCCCATTCTTCAGACCTAGGCTTCGCGCACTGTTAGAACATTTCAATCGTAACATTAGACTGCTCTCTGTCCAATTGTGACTATCTTGAAGAAAGTAAGACAAAACTGTCGCCTTCGGCAAGCTGCCAGATAAGTCGACTAATGACAGTCAGTCGTGCTTTTTTTCCTCTGGAAATCTGTTCAACGCACAGTTTCATGGGTGAAGGCATCGAGGATAAATCTGACGAAGTCTCTTAGGAGCATTTGTAGCTTAAGCCTAATCTAGTTTTTGGTGAGTGTTTTAATTTCAAGAAATCATAAATGTTAAATTGATTATTTAGAATTCGCTGGATTGGGATTTTCTATTAACACACACGAGATAAACTGTTCGGTTAATTTATTCAACTTTTCTCCTTGCATGTCTTCTCCGGTTGGGTATGTTTATTTAATTCATAAGTTTAATTATAATTAATAATCAGCCATAATAGTGTGGTTTAACCCACAGTTAGATAAATGAGGGACTGACGAATGGGCCCTACATTACCTCATGTGACACTCCGCGTGTGGACTTGAGGGTATATCGATTTCACCTTTCACGCGAGTGCATGTTCCTATTGGGACCAAATGTGTGCGACATTCACCTTTCCCGATAAGACCACTGCCACCATGTTACCTGAAATCAGGAGATCTCTTAGGAGAGCTACATACAGCGGCAAACATGGGCACTATTATCAATATAAATCAACAGTGAAAAGCTTTCTGAATCCAGTACATTCAGGTGTACTCCTGGATAAGACGACCTCAGCCAGTCTAGATCAGGTAAATGTTCGTCAGAGTGTTAAAACAACATTTAGATCAAGTGCCTCTGGGTAAAAACGTGTTTTTAATTCAATCCGTCGCCACTAGGGGCAGGACTTCAGCGACACGCTGTTCGTGACGCCAAAAGCTCTCTTACACTCGTACTCACCTACAGATAACATGTTAGTAGATGTGTGTATCTATGGGAATAAGGATAGTCACTCCCGTTTCTTCTTCTTGTTTACATGTTCTGGTCAAACAAAAATAATAAAAAAAACATCCACTTTTGTCTCAAAAATACTTCCAGAACATTGTGGTCAGATTACACCTAATATTAAAAAAAAAGTCCAATCTTTCAGTAACCATTCAGTAACCATTTCCTCTCTTTAATATTTCACACTTAAGTGAGTCTCGAATAAATTGAATAAAAAAATCATCTGAAGGAGAAAGGCAAGAGAAGAGTGTCAGTTAGTATTGTTAAACTTATATTTTATTTTCAGGCAAATTTACTCACTAAAAATACATTTTGTCTATTTAGAGCAAGTAATTTTTCTTATCTGTCTGGTTACATAATACGCGGAAGCGAACCTTTCGACACACGTGGTTTCTTGGTGAGGTTACCGATTTGTCTTAAAAGGCTACTTCCGAGAACATCCATCACAGGTGACGGATGTTTAGTTAGCCGTACGCAGTGGCTTATCGAGTGAGAACAAGTCGCGTGCGTGTATTATTGTGGCAGCAGTCGTGGGACACTTTTTGGATTCTTCTCACGTAAGACTCATATTAACAAGCCCGCAAATTGCAGCGATAAAACTCATTTAGGTGCACTTAGTTTCATGAAACAACTTGGTTTGTCGATATCTCGCTATATTAGACTGAATATTACATTCATAACCAAACAATGTCATCTATTCATTTGTTCTTTCTCGTTCAAAGATATTAATGTACAATATAAAATCTAACAAACAATCTGCTTTTTTGTTGTTGTAGTTTTCATAATATAACGCTTTCTGCCTACTTAAAGGGGCAGTTTCAAGGAAATACTGAGCATTCTGTCTGTTTGATGGAGCAGAGTCAAGGCATTTATTTGCAAGGACAGGATAGTGCTCTGAAATATATTTGAATAAACTCAAGTATTACTCCAAAATTTCTGAAAAAAACTTCATTTTCTTTGGAGCAACTGAAAAGAAATGAAATGAAATAAAGAGATTATAATTAAATAGTTTAAACAGAAGTCACGTGTGATAGAAGTAAAAGTAAAAAGTAGAGCGGACATCCTTCATAAATATTGATGTTAGGTTTGTATATTTTCATTAGTAATGCTTCCTTAATTCTTATTTTATGTATCTTGTACTTTATCAGATATCTTTTGTCTTCGTAATTCGTTTTATGGCCCGGTATGGCCAGATGGTTAGGGCCCGGCATGGCCAGGTGGTTAGGGCCTGGCATGGCCAGGTGGTTAGGGCGCTCGACTCGCAATCTGCGAGTCGCGGGTTCGAATCCCCGTCCCACCAAACATGCTCGCCCTTTCAGCCGTGGGGGCGTTATGATGTGGCGGTCAATTCCACTATTCGTTGATAAAAGAGTAGCCCATGAGTTGGCGGTGAGTGGTGATCACTAGCTGCCTTCCCTCTAGTCTTACTCTGCTAGATTATGGACGGCTAGCGCAGATAGCCGTCGTGTAGCTTTGCGTGAAATCCAAAACAAACAAACAAACAATTCGTTTTAGAGTTAAGTTTTATTACTATGTGCTCATTTACAGGTTATAGTCCTTTTAAGTAATCATTAAATCTTGTTTTTAGATTTCTGCTATGTAGTTTTAGTCATATATATGTATATATTGATCCACAATTTTCAGAGATCTATTTGTATAGTTTTCATTAGTGTAAGGCTTGTTTAGTAAATCCTTTGTTTTCACTCCAGGTGTCTGTACGAATGTTATTCAAACTTTTCACGGTAAGTATGATAAATAGGTCAATTTATGTACTCTTCTTTATTGTACATTTGGTTTAGTAAATCCTTTGTTTTCAGTCCAGGTTTTTGCATGAATTTGTTTCAATATCTATATTGTCATTTACCGTTTGTCTTCATTAGCTGTTTTCTTCTGTTTCCTATGTGTGGGATAATTCCTATGATTTGGTTACTTTTTCTTATTTAATTTACTTTATTATTTTGAGTGTTTTTTTTTTTGTATTACTTCTTTTGTTTGCTTTAGAACTAAGCCACATTGGACTATCTGTTGTGTCCACCGCGGGGAATCGAACCCCGGATTTTAGCGTTGTAAGTTCTTAAACTTACCGTTGTCCCACTGGGGGACATTACTTCTTTGATTGCGATTTGTTTGCTTGTTATTAAGCACAAAACTACACAAAGGGCTATCTGTGCTCTGCCCACCACTCCTTTATTTCATCTTTTATTTCTTTAGGTGCGGAAAGCCTTTTAATATGCTTACTTCTTGATTGATGTCGTGGGCTGACCGTCAGTTGATGCATGTTCCCGTTGTGTATGTTTGTTTTTTGTATTTTTTATGTTGAATACACAAAATTAACATAAATATTTATAGGTCCTCTTTAACTTTATTGAACGCCCTCTAACACACGTGTCTCCTTTTTAAACAATTTAACAGTTGACGTACATTCTATTCTTTTTCTCTTTTACCAACTGAAGAAGTGAAACGTCTTAGTTCAGGATATTGTGTCATTTGCCTCTGAGAAGCTGAGTGCCCTGAAATAGGTTAATGGACATATATAAACGTTGATGTCTTATATGAGATTCCTACCATACAAAACAAACAAGAAATAACTTTATAAGGTGTAAGGAAGTTATGTTAACAAAGCTTTTACTTGTGTTTCAGAAAGTTGAACTTCTGCTACAGTGGTCACTATAACTCCTCGTGATCCATAGCAAAATATTGCAGCATGCATGGGATATCATGCCAGCATGACATGAGTCCCGACAGAAATTTCAATTCATTCAAAAATAAATGCTAATAAATTTGTTAACATAATTTCCGGATATCCAATATATAATTTTTTAACGATAGAGGGAAATAAAATAGTTATAAAAGTTTCTCTTTAACAGGAAAGATTTAATGCTTCTTCTTCGATGACGAGGAACCCACTTTGAGACTAATAATGGTTGGAGACGGCTTGAATAGGTAAACAGGAAGAAACAGGAAGAAAATTGGAAACCAGATTGACAGAAGACAATAAAAAACCGTCC